AGATCAAGGAACGGTTGACCACAGCGAGTTCAGCATGGACTCCCATGCCGTCGCCGGTATAAATTCATCATCTTCCTTTCCTCCTGAGTTTATTTTCCTGTTTGGAGCCCAGGTTTCTGTCATGGGTGCTCTTCCTCGTTTGTTTGGCCCATGTGACTTTCGCAGCTCATTCTAGCAACTCAGTTCCTCTTCTATGGCCTACAGCAACACCTGCGGTTGCAGTTTTTAGAAAAAAGAAAGTGTAGCAGTAGAAATGTGAAGACTTTCAGAAGCAAGATATTGCCTAAAATATTAATTGTGTTATGAAAGATACCTTATTGTGTGCACAGTTTTTCTGTGTACATGACACTTGTTAGGAACAAAGGTGTTAAATGAGACTGATGTGATAACTGGGATTTTCTTCTTAATTTGTTGACAGGAGCTCTGAAGTGTTACCTTCGAGAACTTCCTGAACCTCTGCTGACGTATGAACTTTACAGCGACTGGTTTCAAGCAGCAGGGTGTGCATGCTGGCTGCTGCAGAAGTTCTACATTTCATTTTATTGTGGTGGGCTGTTCCTTTAGTTTGCTCTCTGCTCTCACAGGGAAAAGGACCTGACAGAGAGAATGGAGAAGTTCAGGGCCCTGCTGAAGAAACTGCCGCCTGAAAACTACCACAACCTCAGGTGTGTGGCTGGTCTATACATGTTTGTGGTGTATTTACTTTATATATTGGTATCAAAATACATTATTTCCAAGGAATTTCAAAGTAAAGCATGATTACTTTGAACTTAATTGTCCTTTGTCGCAGAGGGAAGAGGGGGGAACTGAAAATACCCTCTGCCCGTTTTTTGGTCTGTGCATGTTGTGCACATGAAAACTTGAAACATAAGTGAGCTGCAAACTTCCATTTCAGTGTGTAGCTACATCTAACATAAAAAAGGTCCATCCATCCATTTTCTTCTGCTTATCTAGGGTCGGGTCGTGGGGGTGGCAGCTTGGGTGGGGAGGCCCAGACTTCCCTCTCCCCAGCTACTTGGGCCAGCTCCTCCGGGAGAATTCCGAGGCGTTCCCAGGCCAGCCGAGAAACATAGTCCCTCCAGTGTGTCCTGGGTCTCCTCCCAGTGGGAGGTGTCCAGGAGGCATCCTAATCAGATGCCCGAGCCACCTCAACTGGCTCCTCTCGATGTGGAGAAGCAGCGGCTCTACTCTGAGTCCCTCCTGGATGACCGAGCTTCTCACTCAAACTGTCCAGATTACCTGATTGAAAATTGTTGGATTGTATACCTGGATTATTGAGCATGGACTTTGTTGTTTTTAACCAATTTGACATGACTGTTGACGAGGGAGAGGGTCGGCAACGGAGGCGTGCCAAAGGGGGTGTGCCAAAGAGACCATCTTAGCACCAACATAACTGGTTTGTTCCACTTTGGAGAAAGCTGTTGAGGGAAGAATCAGTTTTGTGTTGTGTGTTTCCTTGACTGATGAAGCCTTCTGGATGGAAGGTGAAATGTTTCAGCAAAAAAAGAAACTGTCCAGATGACCTGACTGAAAAATGCTGGATTCTCACCCTATCTCTAAGGGAGAGTCCAGCCAGCGTGCCCCACCTCCAGGCCCAGCTCCAGAGTGGGGCCTCGGTGACCCATGTCCGGGCGAGAGAACATTGTTTCCATTTGTTTGACTCGTTGTAAGGGGTCATAAGAAAGTTTCCCTTCAAAAATAGGGTTGTCAGATCAAAATCCAAGATGGCCACCACTAATCTATCTATCTATCTATCTATCTATCTATCTATCTATCTATCTATCTATCTATCTATCTATCTATCTATCTATCTATCTATCTATCTATCTATCTATCTATCTATCTATCT